TATATATATATATATATATATTATAATATATATAATATATATATATATATATATATATATATATATATATATACACGTTTGTGAGAGTATGAAAGCAATTGTTTCCCCGTGATGCATGCATCGCGTCGGTTGGAAGTTACGTCGCTCACTGGAACACGACGATGAATCAATTAGCGTGCAGCCATGTGTTTGAACAACAGGCAGAGGACTCGCTCGATTTTTCTTCTCGGAAACGTAATACATATACGCGTTCTCGAACAACGTTGAAAGTCGAAAAAAAAAATAGCCGATTTAATCGTTCGAAACAATGGACAGTGCGTGCGCGATATTAAACGATCACTGTATTTCGTCGCGTCGTTTTTTTCTTTTGTATCGAATGATACCGGAAAAACGCGAAAGAGAAAAACACGCGTTAAACGCATCCGAATTCCCTCCCGTTGAACATTGTACCATGATTGATCGATGAAAAACTGTTGCTTTTAGCTAACAGCGAATATAACTGTAACCATTCATTTCTCAAATCAAAAATTTGATTTTTATCTCAATAGATTTCAATGAAAATTGTGGATTGATTTTAACAAATAATTTTGGTATAGAATTTAATTTAATTATTGATCTACAAAATATAATATATAATATTTAATAAAATATATATTTAAGAAAATTTAGCTTATTATAAATTTATATTTAGTAGTAAAATAATTGCATAAGTAACCGAAAAATAGATTTTCATTTATTTCGTATATATCTGTTATAAAGCATTTTATTAGAATTAAATACCATAGTATATTAGTAAAGAGAAAAATCAATATGCATAATTTATTTAATCTCAAATATTTGATAAAATTTTTATTAAATATTTAATAATATTAGCAATACAGTGAAAAATAAAACTTTTTATATAACATTTCCTTCTATTTAATATTTGTGAATAAATATAATACTTTATAATTAAAATAAAATGTATTCCATTTTATTTATAAAATCCATTTTATAAAATCTATATGCATATATAAAAATACACATACACAATGATATCCTTAATATTCTGTTTATTGTATCGTCAACATGTTATTCGAAATTACGTTATTATTTATTTTCTTGAAATGGTACGAAAGTCCTTAGAAAAGTGTTCGAGTTTATCTAAATAAAACGTGCGCCGAAATGTTTATCGCAGTTGAGTTGTTTGTCTTGCCGCTGTCCGTCAACCGTCAAAGAAACGCAACGAAACGAAAGTAGGATAGAAAAAGAGGAATGTGCGGCCAGAAGTTTCTCGTGCACGACACTCGTGTCCACAACAGGCCGCGGTCAGCTTACATTTGAAAGGAGGAAAGAAGAAAAATAAGGAAGGGATGGTTACACTACGAGGCCAAGACAAAAGCTTCTCCTTCGTCCCAGAATTCTCTGGCTTTCCTTCGTCATTTCTTTTTCTTTAACCTTTAACCATGAAACAGACCATAGAAATCACGAATTTGTACCAAAATATTTTATTCATCCTATCAAAAAATTTATTTCGAACAATAATTTCTCGAAATAGATAATATTTTTTTGTTATTTTTTATATGAGAACATAGAATAAAAATTTCACTCGGCTTTTCAGTACTACGGATTAAGTACTTGGCACTATGCAGCGGTTGACCAATTAAAATACATTACTGGTAACGAGCCGAATGAGATGCATAAGTCACGCATGCTCAATTGATAATGACATTTACACATGTGAGTGTGATTGTGAATGCATTTCTGTATATACGTGTATGCAAAAGCATATCCATGTAGCGCATGTGACTCCCGCATATCTAATAAGTTAGGGAATGTATAAATATAAAGCAAAGGAAATTGCGCTTCCCACGTGGCATTCGATCAACAAATTTATTCGATCATTGTTTCTGTTTATTTTATTCACTATTTCTAATACTTTGAAAAAAGAAGTTCTTACATTAATCTTTCTATTTTAATTTAAAATATTATTACAGTTAAATGAATGGTTTAATTTTCACCTTATGCAATTTTTAACTTATGTACAAAATTCTACAAAATTTTCTTTATTTGTATTTGAATGAAGTAAATTATTATATTAAGGAGTTACACAGTGCATAATAATATAAATATAATTATTTTATATAAATTATGCAATATATACGGTCGGACGCGTACAAATTATTAATTTTTATTTTAAATGTGAAAATGACTAAACAGTTACTAAAACAAATTAACAATAAACTATGTAACAAACATATAATTAATTCAAACCTTGTATCCGGTGTTAAAGCTGGACCAAGAACGAGGGTGCTTCGCCGCAAATTATTCGTAGATCAAGGAAGCTGTATTCGATTCTCTCCTAATAGTAGCATCGTCATCCTTTTGCTTATATTGTATGTATGTGAATGCGTGTATGTGATGCACTTGGGGTTTAAGCACACAACCTCTCACTTTTCTCGCACTTTCCACGACCACGAGAACATTATGACAACCGACGGATGCACTATCAATCGACTGTTCCTAACAACACGAAATAATTTTTTGATCAACAAAAATCCATTCAAAAATTCACTCCACGAAAGAAACTATAAGCGTAATGCTATTGAAAGAGTTTGGTCGATGATCTCGCGAGAAAACATCTCCCGAACAGTTTTATCCGTGTACCGCGCGAAGGGTGAAACCATGGAATCCGTGGATAGTATGTATGTTTCGAAGTAACCGGTCGAAACGAAAAGCAATAGTTGATCTTTTTCGAGGTTACATCCACTCGATACGCGTTTTTCGAGGCTTTTTTGATGAATTTTTTATATCACAAACGCAGTTAACACTATTGTTTCCCTGTGAAGCGTATCGGCTCGGTGTGCGATATACTGCAGCCTGTGGAGTTCTGAGCATGCGAAATGTCGCCTGCCACCCCCGCCCGATAGTCACGTGGTTGGCCGGCTCGTTTGGCATCCTTCTTCCCTGTTCATCTCCTCTCTCAGTTTTATCCTCCATCTTCATCCTACTGTTAGCAGTTCTATTCGTCGTCTCGTTTCGTTGGTCGGACGCGTACAGGTCGCTCGTTAATTAGAATGAGAGAGGCTAATGGCAACTCGCTTGGCCACTCGATTATCAGACAAAGAAAAGAAACAACAAAGAACGGATCTAGATGATAGACGAAGAAAGACACAATCAGGTTACCCCCTTATTCGAATAATTGTCACCTCCTGTCACCGTTCGTTTTTACGAATCGCTCTCGACTGACAGACCCACAGCTGCTTTTTTCGTTACAGCCCGTACGAGGAAGAAGTCCATGGTAGAATAATTATTAAGGTAGTCTATGTTCACGATCTTGATAACCGCGAAGGAATGCACAGCACGGGGTTAACGAATTAATGGTGGAATACACGCGGTCCAAAGTGGTCGTTTCTAATGCATGGTGAAAGATTTTAATCCGTGAAGAGGTCTCCACGTGCCAAAGATCGTTGCCATAGTACTGGCAATTAGTGGTGACCTCTGTAGAGATTGCATTCGGTTACATTGTTCGGCAGCGTTTGATGTATATGATTATTTTCGATTTAACGTCTTTTTTCAGATGAGACAGGTTTTTGAATCTACCGGGAAATGTGATGCGACACAACGAATGTTCACGTTGTTCTTTTGCATCGCGTCCACAGCGTGGTACGCATGCGTTTTTTTTTTCCTTCTTTGTTTTATAATCGGAGATAGAGAATTCTTGACGGGAGGTCCAGCGGCCCTACGTCATACTTGCTGCCTTCTTGGAAGGAGAATGTTTTTTCTTCTTTTTTTTTTGCCTTTTTATCGATTATGGTGTGATAAAAATGGCCCAAGATATTTGTCCTTGCTACCTATCATTGCATGTTAAAATAACAATTATTTCTGAATACTAGATAAACTAACGAATTTTTTCAGATTTAAATTAATTTAAATGTATATATGTCAATTATATACTTTATATTATTACAATTATTTATATAAATTATTTTGTATGTATTTTTCAATTACATTCTGTTTTAATTTTAAAATATTTGTTAAACGAATATTAATAACATAAATTTTGTTATATATATACTTTTAATATTATTTTGTTAACACAAAATATTATTTATTGCACAAATTGAAAGAAATTCAAACTTTTTTTTAATTATAATAATAGATCATGAATATTTTTGTGGTATAAGATTGCAACTAATGAAAATGTCGCGCACGAGACGAAGATTATATTTTTGACTATGATAATCAGGACGATGCGAGACAAGGGTAGCAACCTAATTTCCCACCACCTGCTCTTACATCCAATGCGCGTTTTATACGAACTAGATGGATTCTCAAATTTCCTTGAAAGTTTAGATAATGTTACCGTGAAATTTTTCAAAATTGCTTCTTACGTGGTATTTCAATTTATAAAATAAAAGGCTATTTTCTTCAAATTTCCCATATGAATATAATGTAATGCAGTATTAAATTTATAATTTTTTTACACACTTAATAGTCTCTTAAATATAATTTAATAAAACTATAAAATACTTTAGAATGTTAATTTTGCTAAGTAAACAAAATTTAAATATTGTTAATCTTTTTTTTATGTCTAAAAATATAAATATGGAAATTAATTTCGACAAAAAATAAAATAAAATATAAAATAAAAAAGAATGTGCTCGAATGCGGGATAGAGAATGTGCAACGGTTGCTTTATTATCTCGCTCTCATCCCTGATACGTAATATTTCTCGCATCAAAGTGCATACGATGGCGAATATGATTAAGTGATTCATTTCCTCGTGTTATTTATTCACCATAATGTCGATTGCGCTTTTCAAATTTATATATCTGTAAATAGTATATACCTGAAAATAATAAACAAAAGAATAACCGAAAGCAAAAGCGATTTCGATCGGAAAAATTCTTCGAAAAACGACAAAGAAGATTAGTATCTTTAGGTTATTTCGAATAAGTGCAACAGAGCAGAATAAGTATTTACCTTAATCCGATCATAGTTTTACAATGCAATGAAAAGGAGAAATTTTTATCTTTTAGACAAATTAGACATATGTTTTTTTAAAATTTTTTGTAATATTTTTTAAAGGATAAAAAAAAAGAGAAAAAAATATATATATTTATATACTATATAATCTACATGTACGGTTCACGAATATAAATGCGATATAACCCGCGAAGCGTTACGCGAAATGGATGTTGTCAAGTTTCCCAAGAGTCGTTCGACAGAGATCGAAGGTAATAAAGAAAGGCACATGAAAAAGAGACATGGCGTCGACATCCTGTTGGTCGAATCCAGTCGTTGTCTCAGTTAGAAAAAGAAGGCGATATAAGGGTTGGTACCTTTATAATATAATGATATCGTAGTTCTATATACCGTTGCGAAGAACCCTTGTGTACAGATAAATAAGACGGCGTGCGAATAAGTGCAGTGCTAGCTTGAAGTATGCGGGATGCTTGTGGTCTATCTCTAACGTACAAATGGTGTGCTTCGATGTGCGCGTCGACCACCCAAGGGTGCACACACCTACACGAGCATTTTAGAAAAAAATGTATGAGTACGGGCCAGAATATTTACTTTATAGAAGTTCAGGTATGTACATATGTCTTTTAGTACCGAACAAACTAACTTTTACTTGAGTGGGTTCCGCCGGTCATTTCGATAGACGACAAAAAAGTTAATGGTAAACATTTTTCCATCAATAAAAAAATATTCATTCGTAAATTCTATCAATATATTTAGATATCCATTTTTATCTCTTTTAAAAATTATGATTATGATTAATATAATAATTATAAATCGGAACTTTGTAATTTTTGTAATCGTTAAAAAAAATTTGATGTCATTTGATACATCAAAACTATTTATTATAGTTGGCGTAAAAAATAAGTAAACTATGATATAAAGTGATATCTATATAATTAAAATTATAAACACTACTTTAAATAAAATATTAGATATGAGATACTATTATCAATTTAAATAGTTTCAAGAGAAAAATTGGAATTTTTTTTTCACTAAAAAATGTAGTCTTTTGTTTCTCTTCGAACGACACATCTTCACGATAAGATCCTGCTAAAATAAGTGCACACACGTGTAGAAATCCTGCGGGTGGGTTCAGCCCCAGCTAAGTAAGCGAGATATTTCCTTCTCTTTCTTATATATGTGTATGTAAGGGTGGGGATCTCGCGCACACATACCAAAGGATTTGTTTAAGTAGGTATGTACAAACGTATCTTAGGTTATATGGGGTGTACGATTCGAAAATGTTACTTGTATAATTAGTATAATTTACTGCTTGGAGAATGGATAATTAGAAAAGCAAATTTTATAAATATACAATTTAGAAATCCCGGAATTGGTATCTATAAAATTATTTATAATAGTAGAATGATTAGGAAATTTTGCCAAATACAAAATATTATTTCAAACACAAATAATTTATTTATCTTACTTAATTTTTAATAAAAATTTAATTGATAAATTTTATTGTTTAATATTTAGTTTAGTAGATACAAGTTTAATCAATACCTTATAATATTTATAACTTTAATTTCTAGTATCAAGGATTAAGATACAAGAAATGAAGTTAAAATATGTTGTGAATGTTGTTCTTAATTAATCAGTGCGTATATAAATCACAAATGAGATGGCAAGCTAATTTTCGGACACCCTGTGTGCATGTAACGCAGGCGCAGGCAGCTGTCACCTTACACCCATGGAGGAGGCATGGGCTGCGGCGGCCATTCTCAACTTATCTCTAGGATCTTTGTAAACATGTCGTGAAATCCGAGTATTCAAGCAGTGGCGTAGATCGCGAGGTGGAAGGACCCATCGAAGCGTTCTTGAAGGAAGAATTAAAATCTCCAGAGAGTATGTTTGAGACTGCAACGTTGGGCGCACAAGGTTTCCTTGGCAACCAGAACCATGGTGGCAACGTCACTAAATGGAGCACATCTTTGTTCCGTGCTAATAAAAGGACTTCAGGACGTGCCACCATCTTCTTTACCCTCTTCCTCATCTCTTAGTCTTCCTGCTTAGGGCACTCATCCTTCCGTTACTCTTCGTTGCGATGAAAATATTCGTGGAGCTACAATCATTTGATAATAATAGTTCGATATTTTTGTTTTATTTAACGATGATTTTTCAAGATTTTGCAAATGTATAATAAATTTACATGTTATTATTTTTCTAATATATTTTGTTTTTCTATTTTTTGATTTATAAATTTTTAATTAAAAATTCTGATAAATACATAAATAATAATTAATATTTTACAATGTAATGTTAACATAATTATATTTGTGTCATAATCTTGAATTACATAAAATAATTTCGAATCTTTTGCCATTATTGCTATTATTTACCATTTATAAATTATATTACATTTATGAAATATTTCCTTAGATTATCGCATTAGTTGATTGAGCAATCAAAAATGGTTCAGTGTAATTTATAAGTGGATAAATTTTAATATATTTATTATTACGTGACGTTTCGAAACTGTTGAAGGCTTCGAGCTCAAGACTTGCCAGACAAGAACCGCAGCAACGTGAAACATAATACAAGTTGCACCAGCCAGTCCTAAGCTCAGCCATGCGAAGCAGCCAGCGGCTAAGGAACGCGACGTACGAATCAGATTACATCTTGCGTTGGCTGCTTATCTTTATTCTTCACTTTACCTCGCTTCAATTCACTTCATTTCGCTTCAGTGACAACCCTTCGATCGGCATCTTATAACCGCTCTACGATATACATTGTCCTTGAAAACAGCTTTTAAAGTATTTAAATGATCACGAAATTTTACTTTCATTAAAAATTTTAACTTTAATTGCCGAAGTTAAACCATTTATTCATGGTATAATCGTATAATTTTATAGTCACATCAAGCAGAAATTATTTTCGCGATATCGTATTGTAGTAAGGATAAAAGTTATAAAACGCTTTTGTTTTAGGAATAATTTACAAAAAATTTTATTCCTTACCATACAATTGTTTACGTTTACTGTTTTATCCGGTTTTTTGTTTGTTGTACTAAACATTAAATATTTCTTAAAATTAATTAATATTTACTCATTGTCTGTTCCGCTAGTTTGTAGAAACACCGGTGCTTGAGCACCTTGCGCAACCTGTATTAATTGGGGTTGAGCTTGTATAGGAGCAGTTTGAATTATAATTGGTTGATTACTTCCACCTTGTACTTGCATGCGAATCATTTGAAGTTGTTGAGGCGTTAATTGTATCTAAAATTATATACAAGTTGAATAAATAAACATATAAATAAATAATAAATTTATATTAGATCCTAATAGTATACATACTGGTATTTGTTGAATTTCTCCACTAGGTGTTACAATTTGTTGTACAATTTGTATTCCCCCAGTTTGTGTTGTAGGTGTTTGTTGAGCCTGTTGTAATTGTATAATTTGTTGGCCTGATGATTGTTGTGGACTTTGTACTGTTACAGTCTGTGCTGTATTTGGAGTAGTGCTTTCCTATATTAAATTATCTAATAAATATTTCAATTTATAAAAGAAATAGAATATTTTATAAGAAAAAATATACATACTTGTTCTACTGGACTACCAATATTAATTGTTTGTATTTGTCCAGTTGATGGTTGCACTATTTGTATAGGTTGTGTAGTAGCATTACCACTTTGCACATTTTGATTGGCAGAAGCTTGTTGTTGTGCTAATTGAAAGTAGTAATGTACCTGATCTGAATTCATAGAAGTACGTACAGTGCTTTCAGTCTGTGCTTTACTCTGTTTCAATTCATCTCTAGGGACTATATCAATTAGAAAATCAAATTGATCATACTTAGTTATTGCCATTGCTATATCATTTCTTTGAAGAGTACGTCTTTTATTATCTTCTGTATGAACCCATGCTCTTAATGTTAATTCATGTATAAAAATTTCTGCTGCTTTAGAGAATAACATTGGAGCTTCTGCACTTATCATTTTAACATCATCATCAAGTTTCATAATTTTTTTTATCCTTGCTAATGGCAATGATTGTGTTTTTAAGTCCATCTATAAATCCAATAATAAATAAAATTAATCATTAAATCATTATAACAATAAAGTGACAATAAAATAAATAATATGTTATAAAACATATAATATTTAAATTATTATTTACAGTAGTAATTTTTTTAATTCTTCTGTAACTTTTGGCCAAAATTGTGCCAAAGTTTGTTGAGCTTCAGAACTGCCAGGCGATGCAATTTGTAAATCTCCATTTGAATCGCCTTCAACTTCGCTATCTTGATTACTAAATAGAATAATAATAATAAATTAATATATTTATTTACATTACATTATATCTATTTATTCAATATGTATCATATTTTTGTAAGTAACAGTAGACAAATTTTGAAATAGATATATAGGAAAAATATATATATAACCTAATAATATAGAAACAAATAATTTACTCACGCATTCACGAAGAATACCGACATTTTTTATAAACACTATTGAAACGACATAAGAAAGAATATTCTAAATTATGAAAATCATTTTAATATTTAAAATAAACTTAAAGTAAATTACAAATACTTTAGTTTGTTGATTATTGACAAATAAATTATGTGCATTAATGATTATACTGCCATGATAATCAATTTTATTTTACTTCAAATTTCAGAGTGTTCACGGTAGATGGCAGTAACGTCCATTTTATATTATATGTGATCACGGACAAGGCACAACGCAATATCTAATGTACTTTCTTATCTATGTCTTTCCTTGTCTAAAATAGTTATGAACAAAGTGCATAAATTTATATAAAATGTAAGGTTTATTTTAATTTTATGATTTTTTTCGATATTTTAAAACTTTTGAAATAATATTCCATAAAATAAAATGTCATGATAAAAGATAACTGAGAATAATTTTAATCAGTAAAAAATATACAATATTATAACCTTTTAATTATATACATATCTTTTACATTGTGTACATTTATGTTATAAATGTGGTACAAGTAAAATATTAAAACACATATAAATATATATAATTTTAATATGTACAATTTTTTTTCATTCATGCATAGCTTTATAACTACAGATACTTTGAAAAACTATATTTAATACTTCTTTTGCTGAATGAGTTTCCGAGTTACTTATTCTAATAATACTTCCAAATTCTCGAATGTAATGATCTAATTCCATATCTTTTGATAAATCTTTTGTTGCCATATATTTATTTGTTAATTGTAATAATTTCAATAAATCAGAACTAAAAGCTTCATCTAAATCAAATAATTCCAAAGCTGGTGGTGGTAATTCTTGAAAACTTGGTGGAAATACCTATAAAAAAAATAAATTTGTTTTGCCATATATCTAATTTAAAATATATATTTATAATGTAATAATAACAATCTTTACTGAAGCTTGCATAGGTGGTAATGGAGTCTCAAAATGTGGTGGAATAAGAGTAAGTGGTTCATGTTTTACACCAAGAACTTCATAAGCCTTTATACAAGAAGGTACCATATCTAAGTTTACTGAATAAAGATGATGTTTAAACAATTTGGTATAATCATAAGGATTATCCATAATATCCATATCCTGAGTACATACTTTTGGATTATCAGCTTGTTGTGTAATATCTGGGATAAAATTATATTCCCAGAACTAGATAAATATTGTATCATCATTATCATTAATAATAGTAAATAATTGTTGATATGATAAATTATTAAAATATAGAAACTTACATCTACATCATCCATTTGAGATTCTTTAATTACAATATCTGTAGATTCAAAAAAATCAAAAATCATTTGTCTTAATAAATCATTTTTTTCTTTTTCAATATATATATCGGTTAACATTCTTGAAGAACCTAAAACAAGTAATTTTCCACCATTGGTTTCGTTATAATGATAAGCACAAATAGGTCTATTTGTTGGAATTGCTATTGATCCACTTGATAATGCAACTCTAGATGATTGTGCTACATTTAAAGTTGCTCCATATGGATATAAAAAGTTCATATTTCTGTAATATGATATATTAAAAATAAAATATTTTTATATAATATGATAATTAATAATTATATTTGAATAATTTACATATACTCATCATGATTTTTTGAAAATATGGATTTGTTTGACATTCCTTGAGAAATTAAACATTCTTTTGGATGCATTGTTTGACTATAACTCATACGTATAACACTGTCTAAAAATTTGATAATAAGTATATAAAATGAAATAAAGTTTTTTTAATTATACTTTCATTAGAAATTTTTATAATGAAATACCATTGTTCACCATTATGCCAAATTCTTCCAATAAAAAGTTTACATTAGTATTTGATTTTTTTTCACCACCTTCACCAAGCATAACTAAAATATGTCCGCCAGAATTTAAAAACGCTCTAATCGAATTCATTTCTAATTCTGTAAATTTATTTCGTGGACCAGGCAATACTAATATTTTGCCTGTTGATAATAATTCTTCCGTTAAAATATCGTTGTTTCTAAAAATATGATGAAAAATATAAAAAAATGTATTTCGAGTTCAATAAAAATATATAATCAAAATATAATTAATATAACGTTACTCGATGAATTTCCATTTTGATTTTAATTTTCTTTGTAATATTTTAAATTCTTCGTTCAATTTTCTCTCGTTTTTTGACGCGTCAAAAATAATGACATTTAAATTATTGTTATTGTCACTGCCGCCAAAGATTGAGCTCATAGTGATTGTCACTTTATTATATTAAATAAATCTTAAAACAATTTTTGATAACTTAATTCTATTTTTTTATCGTGTATACTAATTAAGTTATATTCTGATACGATTCTATACTTAACGTATAATTCATCGTTGTCATTGGCAACTATAATCATATCAAAGTTTCAATTATAATTGGCTCGTGTAAGAATACATGAGGGATGTAAAAATTTATTACATGATGTATTACTAAGTATACGAAAAAAAATAGAGATAGAATAAGAATTGACTATCAACGCCATTTTTTAATCAAAAGAAAATTTCTTCAAAGGGAGGTAAAATAAAGCACTCAAGAGATGGCGCTGATTCTATAATTTTTATTCTAATTTGCTTTTCTTATCTATATGTATTCTCTTGGCGCATGACTATAGACGCATATAATGAGATGCCAATTGTCAACAATTGCATCTTTTTTTTTTAAAATTACAATGAATCTTGATTTTTAATAAAATATTAATATAATATTGTTTACAATATATATAAGATGATATGAGTGTTTTGATGCGAAACATTTAACAATAATGAAATTTAAACAAGCAATAAAAAAAATAATAAAAAAATTAAAGAAAATAATATTAACAAAAAAGTGCATTGAGTATTAAGCCTATATATTCTGTTGTATGTCATCTGTTGTATTATTTTATATTAAAATGTATGAAAACAATCAGCTGATCATATATAGATGGCGTTTCAAATGACGCACTAGTTGTGAGTATTGTTCAAAATGGTTGGTGGTCCATGTGATTAAAATGATTTTATAATTATTCAAGAATTGATACAAACAAGATGACTGCAATTGTACAAGAAGACAATGAATTAAAAAAGTTACTTGGTAACCCTGCAAAAAATGCTGGGGAGGATGGTTTGATGGGTCCGCCGCAATCGGTAAATTAATAAATATGTTTATAGAGTATACACTTGTTCATAAACTCTTCGATTTATTTATTAATTTTTATCTTAGACTAATGTTCCACGACCGAGTACATCGCAAAATGTTAATCCACAATCATTGATAAGTCCTATGACCCCGGCTAATAGTACAAAAGAGGTGATAGAACCTTGTTTACAGTAAGTGATACAAGTACTTCAGTTATAAATCTTTTTCTCATTTTTATACAAACTATTTAAATAAATTTTATGAGAAATAATTAAATTTATTATATGTATTTCAAGAGATAGTGAATACTTCAAATTTACAAATAAATAAAGAATACATAGTTGAACTATATTCTTTTTTTTTTTTAGAAATGTAGTTTCTACAGTTAATTTAGGCATAGAGTTACCATTAATGTATATTAATACAAGAACAAGAAACTCTGAATATAATCCTGCAAGATTTATGGGTCTGATTATGAGGATTAGAAATCCTAGAGCTACTGCATTAATTTTTCATTCTGGAAAAATAGTATGTACAGGTGCAAGAAGTGAAGAAGACTCTTATTTAGCAACAAGAAAGTTTGCAAGAATAATTCAGAAATTAGGTTTTGCAGTAAGAAGTATTATATATTATATTTAAATGAATAGAGAAATAATAATCTTATTATATTTTATTTTACGTGTCTATTATTACAGGCCAAATTTTATAATTTTAAAATACAAAATATAGTTGCTACATGTGATCTAAAATTTCCAATTAAATTAGAAAATCTAAATCATATACATGGACAATTTTCTAGTTATGAACCTGAACTTTATCCAGGTCTTATATATAGAATGGTATCACCAAGAGTAGTATTGCTTATATTTGTAAATGGTAAAGTGGTATTAACAGGTAAGAATAAACTAAAAGAAGGAGATTTCTAACTTTAATAAATATTTATGGAATATATATAATAATTTTTTAGGAGCAAAAAATAGAACTGAATTGCAAGATGCACTTAATAATATATATCCAATATTGAAAAGTTTCAGGAAGCAATAATAAATTTTTTCATATTTTAAGTTTTTGTAAGATAAATAATTTATATAAAAGCAACTAAAATTTATCATGTTATCAAATATAATTTAAGCTTATATAATTAATAGGATATAATTAATAGGAAAGCAACAATTTTTTATCAGTAAAAATTAGTAGTATATAAGTGTATATAATATCATCTTAATAATATTTGCACAAATTCTGATCTTCTTTAATAAATTAATTATATAATTTATATAAAAATTATACAAATATAAGAGCATATATATATAATATGTTAAGCTTCTTATATAACTTACAAATATATATCTTTTATAGAAATAAATTTACATCATATATTTCTGAACATTATAAATATAAAAATATTAATCAATATTATATCATTATAAAAATAAAACAACTGATAAATGTAACTGATAAATTTTTATAAAATATTTATCTCTTTAGATATAATGTATTTCAAAGATACGGATTTTTATAAGAAATATTGGAAATATTTATTTTTATTTTATTTATTTAATTATATTTAATTTTCTATTATATATAATATATAGGTAATTGTTGACAATATATTTATTATTAAAAACAATATATTTAGAACATTTATATATATTTTATTTAATAACATATACATTAATTTAAATTATCATTTTGCATTAAAAGTAGCATTAAGATATTAAAATATTTGTATCCTTATTTAGCACCAGGATTTCAGATTATGAAAAATCTTTTCTAACAAATTTATCTATTTTTTGTATTTTTTTTTTCTTGTTCTTTTATTGTATTATTGGAATTGTATACTGGTTTGTAGATGTTTTTGGATATACTTTTAAATGTTTTGCAATCCTTGTTATCTTAACATCTTTCAATAAGATATGTCAGATATTTAATTTTTGTTAATGTCAATTTAATAGACGACATTTAAACCTTTCTTCGCCGCAATCGGCAATTTTTCACCCCGGAAAAAAGGATTTTCTTCCTAAAATAATATAATGATTATTAATATAATTTATTACTTATATTAATATATAATTTAAAATTAAAGAATTTAAAGCAAAAAATTATAATATTATAAATTAAGAAATTTAAATAAAAAATTTTAAGTTTCACTTTTAAAAAGTTAAAAATATTATTTTCATATTGCTTTTATTGGTATATCATAAATTATATTTCAAATCTTTAAATTCTTAATTTTTAAGAATAATAAAAAGAATAATAAAGATTTATTATTCTTTAGTGTATTCAAAATATCGGTAACGAAGGCATTAAATTAAAGAAAATAAAAATTGATAGAGTAATAGAATAATAATATTTTAATAACTTCTTGATTAGATAATTCAATTCTAAAAAAAAATATGAAAATAAAAAATCATGTTATGAAAATATGAAAATATATTTTTTAAATGAAAATATAAAAATATGAACATTTTTCTTACAACTTGAAATTGATCCACGATTTGATTGAAATTGGAATTTGAAATGTGCATATTTGGAAGACTGTTGCTGTTTGTAGAATCAACTGAACAATCCAACATGTGTTCCGTGTCGCACATACAATCTTGTGCGCTTTGATAATCTCGACTGAATGCTGCTGTATTTTCGAAGTTTACGATACAATTGTTTTTACCTATACAATAATCATAATATAATTAAATTTTGTTATTGATTTAACGGTTTATTAAAAAAAAGTTTTATTAAATTTTTTTAATAGAATATTAAAAAAAAAATAGATCTAAAAAAATTATTTTTTAATAATGAGAGCTAGCTTCTTAAAAGTTAATATGGATCGTTTATTAAACTTTGATTAAAAGTAAAATTACATTTTTTGTTGCATTAAAAATTTTTATTAATAAGTATTTCACAATAAAAAAAGATTTAGAAAATTATTAAAAAATATGTAAAATAAATATCAATTATAATTTTAAAATATTAAATCACTTACTGGTATATCCAACTGGACAAGGATTTGGTGGTGTACAATATGCAGGTAAAGCATTCTCTTTTTCATCCTTGATATTTTTCACGCTTCCAGGTTTGATTCTTTGTCTATCGTTCACTTTATCGTTATTAGTAATATGTTGATGACTCCACAATGAGCTATGCTGTAAATATTCTTGATCGCGAATACTAGGATTAGGGTTTAAAGTATCTATACCATCGTAATCGGCAGGTAGTTCAAGAGGAATTTCTTTCGGTTTGTCCTGATATTCTAGATAAGAATCTGCTGTATCGATAAGTTCATTTCCCATTTGATTGATTAATTCTCGGAGAAGAGTGTCAGTCAACAGTTGTTCTTCCTGAAATTAAAATTATATAAATTAGTAAATTAATTTTATTTAAAATTCACTATAAAAATATTGTTAAAAAAGTAACAATTGTACATGAAAACTTTCATTAAAAAAATTTTTCATTAACTTGTAAAATTGTAAATTGAATTGAATATAAATTGAAAACATTTTAATATGTAAAATATATTGAAACTAAATAGAATAAAAAATAGTATGTTACCTTAAGAGGTGGAGGCAAATATACTGATGCTTGAACAGCAACAGCCACAGAAAAAAACAAAATCCAATACATGATTTTGAGTAATCTAAAATAATTAAATTAATGATTTGTAATATAATTATAATCGACCCTTATTATATTGTAATATTTTATTTTTATTTTTATTATAATTAATTGTTTAAACCGATTTAAAATAAATAATTATTAATAGTTTATTTATTAATGATAGAAATAAAAATCTTTTTTATTCAAGATAACGAGAAAAAATTTTTATAAGTATTTAAACATAAAAAAAACTATTATTTATGGAAAATTAATAATATATATTTAGTAAGTACTTTATATTTTATATTTCATTCTTCATCCTTATTATTATTTAACCATTTCTAAAGTAAATAAAATACAGCTTTGCACTTTATTTTTGAATTACTTATATGATAAAAACGTACGTCGCGATTAATTAAACATCAATTTATTAATTTTATTAGATTAATTTAAACATCAATTAGATTAATTTTAAATAAATGCTTTCTTTTATTTATTAATTGTTATTATTTACATGCATTAAATAATAACAATTTACAAAAGAAACAAAATCGTTACATCGTTACATTATTACATAAAAACAAAATAATTTTTCAAATATTTTATTTGTTTTTCATTATAAAAATTATAAGAATTAATTCTATTTAAAAAATCTCACTGAAAAATTTATATAATAATATATAAAAATATATTACAATCAAAAACAATAATGTAAATATCGTTAGTTTATCGACCCTTATTTGAGGCCAATAACTGTTCGCGTAATTTTTTTGTTATGATTTTTAAATCGGATTTTCATTCGAACTATTTCGAAAAATTTTGGAATATGTAAAAATACAAAAAAATTAAAAAAAGCAGTATAGATAAACCAAAATAAAGTGACCAAATGGATCAAATGAAACTTACCAAAAATCTTGTAATAATCGCAATAATGTACTGAAGCGATCCTCGAGTTTCGCGAATGGTGAAGTGTATGGGTTGGGTTTTCTTCCAACAGAAGCGGCGCTGTGCTCGCATGAAATATTGATCCGTATTTTCCGCGCTGCTTTTCTCCCTTCCATTTTCACATTCGGCCACCGTACCGCCTACAATCCTCTCTTACAACCCACATTCGTAAAACCGAGTTACGAGCAAAGGTCGGCCCACGATTGAACCTCGTGACGTCACTTTTGCGATTAAAGGATGAGTATCTGGCAGGATTGGGGGAAATAGATCTTTAAAATAGATATGTATAAAAATATTCTCATCTCTTCGAATCATATTTTTTTTGGAAGATTTTGTAAATACGAAATGGATAATGTTTTTTTGATGTTATTAAAAAATAATACATTAAATTAGCAGTTTCTCAACTTTAAAATTATTATAAATTATATATCGAAATCATATAAAATATAATATATAAAAAATTTAATTTTATTTCAATATTTAAGGAATAAAAAATGAAAATTAGAATATAATCATTTTTGACATTTATTGTTCGATTAAAGAGAAAATAAATATTTTATTTACATCGAATTTGATTTTAAATAGTAAATACATAATATATAATACTTATTTATGATTTAGATGTCAAATAAAATAATATTTTTAAAATAATATCTATTTTGAAAAAACTTCCAAAAAAATATTAATGAAAAATTTGTCAAGATGTCGTCATTGCTGATATAGAAATTAATGTTTGACACAAAGCAATGTTTTTATTGAGAGAGCATCGCGTCGATGGAAAGACTAAAACACGAAATGAAACGACATCCGAAGGCTCGAGAGATCAAAAGACCCTTGACATTCATTACGGTCGTATATAAACGTCCATTAATAATTGTCTCGCTTTGCATACTTCCAACTCAATTTCTGAAATCAAATTGCTACCGTGTTTCCGTCCACCGACGAAAATTACTCTCTTTATTGAATCATGTTCTCGCGCAAGGGACACTTTGTTCTCTCGCAAATCGTTGCGTTATGGTTACCAAGTGAACCACAATCGTGTTTGCCTTTGTATAAAAGTTCTAGGAGTAAATTGATTTGAATGTAGATTTAGTTTAGTTTAATCGCTAGTCTTATTATTAGTCAATTTTTTAAAACTTTTAAATAGAAATTCTTAATTAATTAAAATTTATTTTTTTAATGATTTAATGATGATATTAATGTATATATAAAATAAATGAGTATATATATCATAGAAATTGAGACAATTTTATTATTATTACATTATTATATTAATATATTATTATTTAACAATATAGTTAGTTAATAAAATATATTAATATATTTTTTTTATATTTTTATATATGTTTTATAATTTATTAATCCTCTTATACATAAACTAAATTAATTAATAAATTATTTAATAATTTATTTATTCCATTTATTTTTATCAATGAAATATCGAGAAAATATTAAAATTATAATAAAAAAAAAGTATAAGAAACAGAAGATTATTTTTCTCTAGAGATAAAGAAAATAAAGGAAGTATTATCCGATTATCAGGTACACCTTCTTATCTAGCTATTCATTCGTTTCACTTTTCTCATTTGACAAACTTATCATCTATTATTTATGTCATTAAATAATAAATAAATTGCATCTTTATTATTTTTTAGCTATTGAATTTGAAAAAAGTTTTTAATTTAAAAAATTACACAAATCAATTTCCAACAATTGTATTTTTTAAAAAATCAACAAAAAAAAACGAATATATGTATACGAATGTTTTGAAAATGAAGAAATGCTTTTCAGTACGAGATTTGACATTGAATGGTTCGATATTGTTCTAAATGTACTTATTTTGATGGGTCAAAATGCATGGGGTTCGTCATTACGTCAATGGACATGTTATCGGCAGTTAAATGACTAAAACGTTTGAGAAATTCATTAATTTACCCTTCATGATTGATTTGTCACTTCGATTTTAGGTTAGGAATATCCATGTACATATCTATAATATCTACATACTCGTCTATAATAATATAAGTTCTTCTTTAACATGAAAATATATTTATTACGTATAATTTACGTATTATTTTAATAATAATTTTATATTTTATTTTGTAAATTTTAATAGTAATTACAATATGATATATGGAAAATTCAGAAATGAAATTTATTAATTTTGAAATTAATTAATTTTTTGAAAGTTTTTAAATTTTAGTTACCTGAGCATATAGAAAATAACTTCATTATAATCAATTAATTATAATTAATTTAAAAAATATTCTATATAGTACAATATTATTATATATTCCATAGCTCCATAGCATAGAATATTATTCATATAACATCATAGACAATATATTTCACAATATATAGTATTATTTATATAAAACCATAAAAGAGATATTTCACAACACAATTTATATAACACTACGAGATATTTTGCAATATAATAAAATTATATATTACATATTATTAATAACAACATTATGGTCAAAATATTCTATAATATAAGTAGTACGCCATGGATAAAGTATCTCGTGAATTTGTTCATTAGAAAGAGTTGGTATTAATCCTAACTTCAGTTTAGTGAACAGCATTCAGATTCGTGAGATCGTTTATATGTCGCGAAATATGAATTATATTGTGGCTTCTTATGAATTATATTATGCGGAATATCTTGTTCGTAGTTATTAAGTGGTTAATATATTTTTTACATTTCTACATTTTAGAAATATATAATTTTATATAAATAATAATTTGCTAAAGAAATTATTTTTTATAATCCAAAACGCTTTAACTTTACTAATCTTTGGTTCCTAAAACTACATATTACTAACCTCAATATTTCGAATTCTGTTTCATCCAAATTCTCTATCGAAATTCTTATTCATAAATTCTGTCAAATCATTAATAGTTAAATCTTTTTCTTCTAATCTCATAATATTCTTCAATTCATTATTAAATATTAACATCATACTAGTTTAATATCACAAAAAAAACAATGTAAGTAAAAATTTTAATTTTTTGAAATGAATTTTTTGGATAAATTAGTTACATAATGATAATATACTTTAACTAATATTATTTTTTATCATCGTTAAATTTTTCATAATTGTCTCATTTATAAATTTTTCTTTGAATCTCTTCATTCATTCAAATAAAATAAAGTATATATAAGATCATTTATCGGCACATAGATTTATATTAAGAAAAATATTAATTAATGGAAAATGTGTTAGGTACATTATGGTGCGTGTATTAAAGAAAATATGAGGAAAATAAATTTTATAACGTATAAAAGAGAAACTAGATGGTGAAAAATTTTTAATCGGCTATTTGAAATCACTATTTTTTCTTATTTTAGATTTCACAGTGATCATTTATCTTTTATAATAGGTTAAAATCTTTTTTTTTTTTTAATTGAAATCAATTAACATATTTTCAATATATTTCCTACCGAGTATATCAATAATAATTATTTGAGGTCATATTTTTTTTATTTTAAATTTCACAATGATGATCATTCTGATATTCTAATTAGCCAAGATCTTTATCAGATGTATAACCAATTATATATTTGAAATCACCATATTTTCTATCGGGTGTACAGCAAAATCAAGATTTCTTAATTGACCATATTTTTTCTCATTTTAAATTTTATAGTGATATAACTCTATTCTAATAAATCAGAATTTTTTCTACCTTTCTAATATATGACATTTTCTTCTGGATAGGCGGTGTGAGGTTGTTACGCTGTGTCTCGCCGTCACGAGTATTGATCTCCGAGGAGCCACTGTGTGAATGGGCTATAACCGTCTCACCCTAGAACCTGGGAACATAGAATCTCCTTCCTTGTCTTGTTTCCTTAGCCTCCTCCTTCGTCCTCTTTTCGTTTTGGACCCAAGTCCATTTTATGTGGGTTGGATTTCTTCGTTTTGGACTACATTCTCCCGTGCACTTATTACTGGCGCCTGTGGAATGCTCTACCTTGACTCTGACCTATTTTTCTGTCTTTTCAATTTTATATTTAGGATTTGACTTAGAATGACTTAGAATTGTATGATTTGTACAATTTTTTTTTAATTGTATTTATTTTAATTTTTCTGTATTTTTTATTTTTTCTCTTTTTTTCATTCTTTGTTACTTTTTTCTGTTTTAGATTTTTAGATCTTCTTAATATGTGATCAAAAGAATTTGGACCTATGAAGTTTAAATAATCTGCACAATATAATATAAAAATGATATCTTATATATATAATATATATAAAATCTTACTGATGTACTTGTAAAAATGATATCAACATTAGAATATGATGACAGGAAATAACATAGATCTTGACTGAAGTTTGAAGACAAAGTATTTTCATGTCTAAAAATCTGTATAATTGATTAACTTCAAGTAAAACACCTAGTAATTTCAGTTTTTATATTACAAGTATGTAAAATGTATTTTTTACAAACAAATCGAAATCGAAACTCCTAGATCATGTGAGAACTAATTAAATGCTACATGTGTTCGTGTGAAGGAATCACGCATGCACGGTGTAAAGTTCATCCAACATTTGTGGTAATGTGAAATATTACTTTTTCATTAATTCCTTTTCTTTTTCTCTCTTCGTTTATTTCGACGCTCTTGAAATATTTTCCTCAATTTGGAGGATTTGATTAAAAAAAAGTAGTAGTACGTATCCAAAACGTTACTTAAACTTAACCTATATTTATTTCAAACTTAATTCAAACAAAATTCAATCTAACCGATCTTAACCTATTCCAAATCTTAAAAATATAATAACTTATTTAAAAAATATTTAAATTAGTTAGATAGTTCCTTGTAAACCAAAGTCACTAATTATTCAATACTTCTCTCATTCCCAACAATGAACTCTCGATTTTATCGAACTTCGCTTAAGTCTCCTAATCTAACATTACATTTATTCCAAACTTGATTCAAACAAACCTAATCTATCTTATCTTATTTTACCTTATTTTAAATTTCAAAAATATATCCATTTTATTTCAAAAGCATCGAAATTAATTAATCAGTTCTTTGAATATACATTTAAATAAATTATTATTTATAATTTTAAATAATGAATTCATATGAAAATTAATCATCATTCGTCTAGGATCCATCTTGCATCTCCAACAATGGAGACCTCAATTACATCAAACTCGGCCCATATCTCGACAATATCAAGCCACTTCTGGGCTCCACCTGGGAAAACAGAATTCGCTCGATCCTCGACGAGTTCGTGTGTAAACCGAATTCGCATTACGCGAAACAATTTCCACGAGTGAAGAAATTCTTGGACATGGTCGCCATTTGGGCTAACGGTGTCTCTTGCAAAGACACGGTTCTCAAACAGGAAGTGATTAAGCACACGATCGAGTGTATGATGAAGGATAGCCTGGTGACACAATTCGCGGATCCGATTCTTGATAATGGGCCGAAAGTGGATTCCAATTCTTTGGCCACCAAGCATAATTCCTTACAATGCATGAACGTTTGGAGGTTTATCACCGAGAAAGATTATTGGTTGTGCCAAGATTGCTCGTGAGTGTGCATATCCTTAGCATTCCTGATGATATTTCTTCTCGAATATTGATTGTTTTTTATGTGGAATACTGATTTTTATTGAAATTGTTAAATCTGTACTATTGAATACTAAGACGACAGTGTATAGGATTGAGAAATATTTGATGAATATGATTTTAAATATAATACTTATATACTTTGTCTTAAATCCACTTTTAAACAAAATGGATTTTTATCGAAATTATGAAATGAATGTTTGGGAATGTTAATGAATGTGATTGCAAAATATAATTAAAATTGATCTCATACTTTCTGAGATTGAATTTGAAAGAAAAATAAAAACTAATTGTAGATATATATTATTTATATTGAAATTCGATGGTATATTATGATTTTTATTAAAATTTATAAATATTAGATAAATTTTTAGATAAATTAAATTAATAATTATGAATTCTAATTTCATTTTGTAGAACACCAATCCATATAGATCCAAAAACTAATCGAAAAATCCACGAAAACAATGGAGAGAGTTCGAACAGCGACTTGGACGTCGAGGTAGGTTCAATCTCGCAGGAGCCATCATCCTATCGCACCTGTAGAACAATCTCCTGTGATCAAATTAACAACCAAGGAATCGAAGCGCCGATATGTCAAACCGAAACCAATAAACAAGAACTCGAATTCGTCTTACAATTAAATTTACAGAATCAAATTCCAACAATAACTTCGAATAATTGCTGCACGGAAACACAGGACACGATAAAAATCAAATGTGACTATGACACGAAATGCGTACACACTCAAACCAGCCAAACGAACTTGAACTTTATCTTTACGACAAATCAATGCGAATTAATCAAACCATGTGACGCCTCTATCCGCCCTAAACCCTATCCAAGAAGAATAAGTATACAGGAATCAAAAATGGTGTGCACCGATCAGAATACATTTCTAAAAAATTCGAAATTAAAATTTTACATATACAAAACAATGAGCACCGACCGATGCACGATTCGAGATCCAAACGTATCCAATCTCTCGCTTCCCTGCAAATCGAATCAGCTGATCGTCCGATTATTCGAGACGGATCCGCTCTTGTTGGATCCTTGTTTGATTCTGTTAAGGAAAAGATTCGAGAAGGACGTGAGCAACGCTTGCTCATGCATAAACGACATCCTGAAGAAGTTCGACGAATCGATGATCAAGCACTTTCGCTTGAACTGTGAGATCAAACATGGCCGCGTCGATTTGAATCTGGTGTGTAAAAGTAGTGGTAACATTTCCAAGTCTCGATGGTTTCTGGCCAGGATACCGACTTGTACCACCGTACACAAACGTGATTCGTGTCACAAGGACGTCGAGAGCTGCGGGGAGAAATACGGAGAAAATCTGCGAAAATCTATTGAGATCCCTATCGATCATGTGTGCGATGAGGAAGTGAGGTTAGAATGTTGCAAAGAATTAGAACAAAGAACTACTTTCTATTCGTTTTGCTCGAACGACAGTTCTATAAGTATAGAATCATCTGTATTGGAGATTGAAAAGGAGAAAGAAGAGAAGAAAGAGGTTAACTTTGTGTGGTTGAAAGAGGGGCCGAAGCAGATGGAATTTGTATTTTCTTCCAAGAACGCGACAAGCCCGAGGGACAAGTGTGAAAAGGCGAAAGTTTATTTTGAGGTTAATGCTGAAAGGGTTAAGGAACATGATGATGAAATTAATGATATATGTGAATCGTTTTTGGATGAAGAAAATGAAGAGACGATAATACAAGAACGAGATACAAGAGAGGGATACAAGAGCGAGGAAGTTGCGGATGAAAAGACTTTCAGATATGAAAAGAGTGAGACACGTGAATTTGTCATGATAGGTACCGAGAACGAATTGACGTTGTGCGAGTATGATTATTCGTCTGATAGCTTGAAGGAATGTGTTGTTAGAGAGGATCAATCGTTGGCTAAAGAACGCGAGCAATGCTTCAAGATTAAGGAGTTTTTCCTATCTGATAATCTAAATCAATGTGAAAAGAAAGATTTGTGCGTGGCTAGTGAAAAGATAGAAGATTTAAAAGAAAAAGATTATGAAGAATGTCATCTAGAAGAAAATGTTGTGGAAATGCAAGAACCGGAATGCTCGTACACGAGGGAACGCGAAGAATACTTGAAGGATACTTCTTGTTCAATAACGAAGAAAGAGATTTCAATGGGAAATGAAATATATACTTGTGAATTAAGGAATAATACTTTTCAAATGGAAAATTGCACGAAACAAGAGAACATTTTATCAGAAGGTGTTGTAAAGTATAATTTTGAAGATACGTGCAAACGAGAGGTGAATGCCTTGGAAAAGAAGAAAAATTTGGAGGAAAAATATAGCGTGGATTCTATTTCATTCGTGCATTCGAACTCCGAGACCAAATGTTCTTGTTGTGGTAAAGCTCTCTCAAGTCCCTCCGACGAAGAAATTTGCAAAACGAATAAATTTGTCACGAACGAAACGATTCTTGACTCAAAAGTTCAAGAGATATCAAACTTAATTGGAACAGAAAATATATCGGATAATTTAAAACCTTCGAATCTTCAATATTGCAAATTTCAAACTAGTTCGATCATTTCTTCATCTCCCGATCGATGTTGCAATACTATTAACAGCAATGCAACAGATTCACCACGATCGTGTCCAAATTGCGAGCAAAACTTGTCTAACCAACCTACTAGCGAGAAAATTTCAGATCCTCCTGTCGCCGAATTTGTGTTTTGTAAAGATTTCAACGTAACGAATTTCTCTTCCGCGTCCGATGAGGAAAGTTCGAGTGAAAATTTTGAGACGAGGGATCAAGAAACGCGCGGGAGATTCAAATCGACTCCACCGTGCAGAAAACCGACTCCACCGTGTCGTCAAAAGTTGATGCATTATACGACATGCGACAATTCCTCATGTCCCGCGAAAAACTTTCGTCGAGTCAGATGTATAAAGCCCGATTCGAAGTGTAAATCGAGGGAGACAGATGGCGTTCGAGTCGTTGCACGACACAAAAGTCGTCGGGGATCCGTGATCCCAAGCAGTCTGTGCAGCTCGTTTCCAGCCATCGATCGTATCAAGTATTTGATACGCAAGAAACTGCGAAAATTGCTTCTCGAGGAACGTGATAAGGGAACGAGCACGTCGAAAACGTTTTTGAGGACCGACAGATATCTGGTCAGTATATCAAGCGGAAAATTGAACAAGGAACGTGTTTTCTGCGAACCTTGTCCAGATAGATCTTCGATTCGTTGTCCTTTTACGGCCAGGAATCGATACGAAACTGGTGATCGGGCAACAGTGAAGACGTTCACGGAGGGAAAATCGTTGAAGAAGAGTAAAAATGTGATTGGTGACAAAATCAAAGCAAAATGTCAAAAAATGATCCAGAATAATGATATATTCAAGAGAATCAAGATGGCGGATGTTTTGAAATCTCAGAAAAATGATTCGAAAAAGTTATCGATCGATGCACGGGATTTGATCAATAAAGAGAAACCGAGAATTAGAAAATTGGATAGTTACTCGTTAAAAAGTAGAAGCTTGAAGGATGATCGTTCGAGTGTCGTGTCTTTGAATTCGACCAGAGTGGTTTTTTTCGAGGATGAGGGTGATCATTTTATAAATCGTAACTTTATTCGTGAAAAAAATTTCGTGTTGAGGAGGGATAACAAAAACGTGGTGAATAATTGTGAATTAAAAAAAGATTTTTTCATCGATTCGAGATCGATAAGAAGTTGTTCTAAAAGAAACTGCGAGCGTAATTTTGTTGGAAATGAAATGAAAATGGAAAATAGAACTTGCTCTGATAAAATGAGATCTTTTGAAAAACGTTTGTACAAGCTCGAGAGAAAGCAAAAGGAGGATAATAATCTCACGATTTTTCTCAACGATTACGACAGATTGATTAGCGAGCTCGACGCGGATTTCAGGTTGAAATTATTGCAATACGTAACGCTTTGCAGAAGCGTAAAGAATTGTTTGATAAAAAGATTGCGACCGGATGACGTTTGTGAGAGTTCAAGTACCGTGTAACACAAGGAATGAGATCGATTTAGTCGATGGGTCGATCTTGATCGATAAATAATTTTATATCATTTCTTTTCATTGTCATTTTATTGTTTAAGATTTTTGTTTAAGATGTGCCTTCTTTTAGGTATGTTGATGTAATATAGTTTTTTTGGAAATGTAAAAGAGAAATAGTGCTGTGTGTGGAATTGTCTTTGACAAAATGAATTGAGGAGGGAAGAATGAATAAATATTTTTAGAATTTTTTCCAATTGTATATATATATAGTTTGTATGTTTTTGATTTGTTTGTTAGAAATATTTCAAATATTTAAAATTATTTTCAATTTAATATATTGTAAATCTTCAATATAGTAAATTGTTTTAATAATTTAATGTTGTAGTTTATATTAAAAAAATAATTAATTATTTTTCATTTAATTAAGCAAAAATTTAAAAATACTCAAAGAAATTGTATCATAGAATACGTTATTTCCCATAGAATACTAATTTTTATCATTAATATACAATTTTTAATAAATATTAAACAAAAAACTTAATCTCAACAGATTAATTCCATCCAATCGTTAAAATACAACAATCGTTGAACAATTTAATATAAATTACCACTAATGAATATAAATAAAAAAAATTTGATACAAATGCCATGATTCCATGGCAATGGAACAATTTTATTTTAAAAAATTGAGTGGCAATAAAATACAGTCGTTTGTTGAAGTACACTTGCTGCCAAATGCCTTATCACATATCATGGTGAAAATGATAGTGAAATTCGAGTTATTTAAGGCGTGCCAGCCCCCCTCCCCCCCCTCCCTCTCCGAATAGAAGATAAAGTATTGTAGACCAACTATTGAGAGCAAGCAGCATCCCTCTACCCAGATCGATATTTCCTGGCAACCACGAGGAGAGAGGGTGCCCATCCCAGTTACTCTGTGTTTGTAACAATGCAAGTCAACTCCTAATAGCTAGTGAAAGATTTAAGCTGTCGATATCTTGCATTTTTTTTCTTATATCTTTCGTATTCATTTATTTTTATGATGTTCTGTTTAAATGGTTTATGTTAATGAACAGATTAGATTTCTAACCTAACTTTCAACTAAAGATTCATTCATACGATTTTTAACAGGTTGAATTCTTTTTGTAAGAATTAATGATCATCATCTATTTGAAAATAAAAAAATAGAATTTTATTGAAGAAAAAAGAAATAAAGTTAACGTAATTTCTTTAAAAATGAAAGTGAATGAGAATTAAAATAAAAGAATTGTACAATCCAATCCAGTAGAAATGGACAATCTCGTGTGGACGAAGTAGAATATTAGGAACACTGTACAGTGGAATCGGGCAGTTTTACACCGTCCATATTTCACGAGCAACCTAAATGCTCGAGTATTTTACTTACAGCCAAAAATTTATGTTACAAAGTTTTAATAAAATTTATGTTTCAACTACTGTTTGCTATATTGCTTTTTCAAAGACATAGAGATATAGAGAATTAAAACTATTTCATAATCTTTAAACAGTTTTCCAATTAGAGAAATCGTAATAGTAATAATAATCTTAAAAAAAATTCTAAATCAAAATTATTCTTTCAATATTTTCTAAAATTAGTTAAAGTGATATCTAAAAATTTTTATTTTAAAAATTTTAATAAATATATTTTGAAGGAATTCTAATTAACATTATTCTTCATTTATTTAAAAAAGAAATACGAAATCACGTTTTTAAGATTTTTTAATAAAACTTATTACATATTCATATATATATATATATATATATATATATATCAACTACTCTAACA